TGATATTATGTGATAAATAAATTTTTTTTAAAAATTAATACTTTTAAATAAAAGAAATCTAAAATTAATATGTTTACTTAAACATTAAGAAACTTAATATCATTAAATAAAAAAATAGCAAACTGAAATCCTTTTTGGTTACGTTTTCTCGTCTCTGGCCTCAGGCATGGAAGCACTGATGAATTTCAGATTTCAGAACCATTCTTAATCATTCTCCTCTATCTCTACGTGCTGGCTGCTTCAGTCGTTAGAGAGAAACAAAGGTAGCATCCTTCATTTCAAGATCATCTTTTTCTTCGTCTTTTGTTCCCCTTCCTCCTCAGGTTTCATCTTGGCTTTGGTATTTTTTGGGTTTCCCTTGGTTGCTTGCTTGCTGTGGTTGGTTTTCTGCTTGTTTTGGACTCAGATCTGGTGTTTTTATGTTGAATATCTTTAACGGTTGAATTTAGCTGCTCTTATTGACTTTAGATATTCAATTACTACAAGATAATGAGCAAGTCTTTCTTCTGGGATTTCAGCTGAAAATGGGATTTTGAATTTGGTTGCTTTTTTCTTTTTTTTTTTCAGAAGTAGATTGTTTATTGTCATGTCATAGTTATCTACTGTAGGGTATTTGAATCTCTGTGTTCCAATGATTTGGCATTTTCTTTTAAATGAATGTTACATATTTAAAGGGGCATGTTCAGCATCCAGTTTAATTCATGAACTGAGTATATTTTTCTTGAAAAAAAGAGAAGCAGTAAATGGATTACTGCACTATATATCTATGACATTTGTTTTTTTAACAGATGATTTGTTTCTCTCATCTAATGCCTTAAATTCTTGGTAGCATGATTTTTCATCAGTTTTTATGTTTATTTTTTGGCTGGTGTTCGTGGGCTGTATGAACCGACTGTTGGCCGTTAGTATTTACATTTAAAACGTTAAAATTTATTCCTTTTGTCAGCCGAGGGGCAGAATATCTGCCATAAAGCTCAACAAAAATTTATTTCTATTTTTAAGGCTGGTCTGTCAGGATTTTCAGGATGTTTCTGATTTATGCCGTGGTCTTCTTTTTGGGAATTGTTGGACTTGTTTGAGATTCAAAAATGCATTCCATTTTTCTTCTTGTGCTTCTCTTATACTTGCCATATTTTGTTATTTATTTATTTATTTATTGAGACTATTAACATGTTTGCATATTTATTTATTGAGACTATTAACATGTTTGCAGCCCACTTCTTTACATTGTAGCTTTGTAATGGATTCCACTACAACAAATTCACAATGCTGCCCGTTTTCAATTAACTTATGGCCCACTGGTGAAGGCACTCGAAGGGTGCTTGTGGAACGGTTGAGAAACAAACTCACTACCAATTCCATCTTCACTAAGAAGTATGGCTGTCTTAGCAAAGAAGAGGCTGAAGAGAGCGCTCAACAGATTGAGGATTTAGCTTTTAACACTGCAAGCCAGCTCTATGATAGGGGGCCTGATGGTGATGGAGGTGCTGCAGTGCAGCTTTATGCCAAGGAATGTAGTAAACTTCTCTTGGAAGTTCTTAAAAGAGGACCTGCAGCAAAGAATGACAAGGTGTTGGCTTCTAAGAAAGAAACTAACATGACAGGAGATGAGGGAGCACTCGCCATTTCTGAGGTAGTGAAGCATTCTCCACTACTAGAGGATTTTCGATGCTCATCTACAAGGGTTGACTCAAGAGGAATTGCCTTATCAAATGCACTTGAGACTTGTAGCTATTTGAAGAAGCTTGATCTCCGTAACAATGTGTTTGGTGCTAAAGCTGGAGTTGGGCTTAGTAAATCACTTTTTAAGCATGCAAATCTTGTTGGGGTTTACTTGAGCTATCTCAACTTGGAAGATGAAGGTGCTGTTGCTATAGCAAATGCTTTGAAGGAATCCGCTCCTTCACTTGAAGTTTTAGAGATGGCTGGAAATAATATCACAGGTGATGCTGCCCCTGCTTTAGCTGCTTGTATAGCTTCAAAGCAGCATCTTACTAAGCTGAATTTGTCTGAGAATGAGCTTAAGGGTGAAGGTGCCACCCAAATAGGTAAGGCTCTGGAAGGTCTAGCTCAGTTAAAAGAAGTTGATATGAGCAACAATTCAATGAGAAGGGCAGGTGCTCGTATGTTGGCTCAGGTAGTTATTGAAAAACCTGGGTTTAAGTTGTTGAACATTGATGGGAATATCATCTCTAATGAAGGTGTTGATGAGGTCAAAGAAATATTCAAGAAATTCCTGACATCCTTGGGCCTTTGGATGAGAATGATCCCGAAGGAGGAGATGACAGTGAGGAATCTGGAGAAGGACAAGGTGAAGGCGAAGCTAATGGGGATGACTTGGAGTCTAAACTAAAGAATCTTGAAGTTAGCCAAGATGATTAGAGTTCTCTAGTCTTTCTTTTTAACAACTTCTGCTGCTTTAGTAAACTGCAGGACATTAAGAACTGTAGGAAATATATATTGACTATTTTCCTGAATTTTATCCTGCATCCTGCGCAGGTGTCATTCTAGCAAAAGCCTAACTGATGGCTTTTAGTAGGTTAGGTTTTTGTAGACTATTTATCCCTATGCATTTGACATGTATTGAACTTTAACTTCCCCTGATATGTGGGGATCCTATTCACGAGTCATATTCTCAATGGTTGGGGGCTGATGATTTACTTATATCTCTTCCTCTTTTGATCGACCTCTTTCATATTTCTTCTTTTATATATGCATATGCTCACGTTTCCTTCTTTATGTTCTCCTCTCTTGTGCAGAGTCTATTTGGATTGGAAACCACAAAGAACCTCTGACTAAATGTTTGAAACCTTGGGTAGGAAAGCAGTGTAGAACACTGTATTTCCAGGATTGGATTTCATATTCAAATGAACCTCGTTTGGCATCTTGAGATTCCACGTTTAAACTCCATGTTGATGTTAGGATTGTAATTCAGTCTTAACGCTAGTTTCTTGTTTCTTACAAAATATTTTTACAATTCGGGAAAACCAGAAAAGAAACAGGATATTCTCCCTCTGTTTTCAGACTATTCTGCACAAATTCAAATTACTAGAATCTTAGAATACGAATTCTACATTGCTTTAAACATTCCTTAAACGTAAGACACTGCAAGTATCATAGCAGTCATCTACAAACGGGTTAGACTGCATTGGTCATTAAGTTCTAACAGAAAAGAATGAAAAATGTCAAATTCCAAAAAGGATAAGATTGCTACAGAAATGCGTAGAAGGCATGTTACAAGATACCAGAACATATGGAACTATAGCTCAAGAGATCATCTGGCATCCTGTGCAGAAAGAAGCCAGGTATTAAGCAAGTGTTGGGCTGTTAATCGGTTTTTTTTTTTTTTTTTATGAAACATTTACATCAAGCCATTCCCTCTCCCATTGGAATGCTGCCCTCTTGAATCTGATGAAGAACTCGGAAAAGAATAGTTTGATGATCTCTTCTTCTTATGGGTATTCCATGTAATTATTTGCCCCTTCCAGGAGCTTGTTGAATCTTCAGCCTTTGCTACACCTTGATGTTTGGGTGTCTCAGGCATGCCCACATCAGAAATGAGTATCTTAGGTGATTTCTCTATGATTCCCCCATGAGACTTGAATCTCTTTCGTGCCGAACCAGAGGTTTCTTCACTTGTTCCTTCACTTGCAGCAGGTACATTCTCATTCCTTAATTCACTAAGCTTTTTCTCTGCTCCTAAGTTATTAGCAGCCAGTTCATTGCCCTCAGGGGAAAGATGGTCCCTCCCCTTCCTTTTACTTGATAACTTTGCCATGTCTTCTCCATTTTCCACAGCCTTCATCCACTGTAAATCACTTAATGTGTCAGAATAAACCACTTCCTTTCTTTTCCGCTTCCCCAAGTCACCATTATTGCTGTCAAAATGTTTGCCCTTGTCTTCCTTAGCATTAAGTGCGAAATATACCCACTCAGGTACCTCATGTTCTTCCATTAGACGGGATCTGTAGTTCTCCTTTACTCTCCTCTCCTCATCCATTTGCTCAAACATCCAGAACTCCTCATCAGTTCGGGCTGCAAGTCGGTTGATCTCTCTCTCACTTGGTACATCAGTTCCCAATGACCTTGTTCCTCTACGCATGATTTCCTCCAACATCTCTTTTCTATCTTGAGCTGTTCAAGCAAATATGAACTGCATTAGCAAAGCGGAAGACTATTGAACAGATGCAAAAGCTCGTTTCAATACTTATCAAAGCTGACACACAGCTTGTTTCCAAGGGAACTGTCAATTTATGTTATTTATTAAGGGTACATTTAGGTAGTATATCTCTACATTCAATATATGCAAAACAGTACTGAAAGAGAGGAACAAGTTTTTTGGGGTTTCAAGATAGTTACTCCTACCTAGGTTTCCAAAATTTCTTTCATTAGGGTCACTAGTTTATTTGGTTTGTTCAAACTCATCACAATTAAAAAAGATATAACAGCATTAAAAATATTTAAGAATTGCATAATGTAGCAAAATAGACTTGTAGAAGTTGTATTGAAAAGTCCAGCTTGGATGACCTTGGCATCAATACCCATCTTCTGCTTTGCACGCTCTAAAATTACCTCTTCAATTGATCCCACACTAACCAGTACAAAAACCCTGACTTCCTTTTTCTGTCCTATACGATGGGCCTGACCTTCTGCCTGTTGATCCATTTGGGGATTCCAATCACTATAAAAAATGATGATAGTATCCATTTTTAAGAATGTTCATAAAACGTGTCATTTGGGAGAAACGTAGGATTTTCTGGTCAGCTTGTCTAAGTTTTGGTAGTAACCGATCAAATTTCCCTAATGCTCTGACAATCTCCTCTTTCTGCCGCCAGTTGTATTCTCTATCTATGAAGAGGTAGAGATGGTTACAACACTTCCTTAGTTGCATGGTAAGATTCTGTAGGCTCTTTGAACGCCCGGTGCCTGAAAAATTTTGTTTTAAATAGTAACTTAATAAATTTTGTTAATTTAAATGGAATAAATAAATTCATATAATATTATTATGAAATTTTATTTTATTTTATTTTTTAAAAAATTTTAAGAATGAAAGAAGATTTGGATATAAAATTTAAAATATTACTGTTTTAATATTTATTAAAAAAGAGTAACTGCTAAATCACTTAATGTAAAATTCTTATAAAATTTTATTATTCCTAAATGAATAATATTAATCATTAAATGAATTGTATAGCACTATTTTCCAAAGGTGGTTATCAACAAAAACTCCTTAAAACTGCAAAATCAATAATCTATTCTTCAATAACCAAACAGCATAATTTGGTTCACATTGACTTTTGACTTCTCACTCAGTCCAAGCTCTCCACCGCTTTCATTAATTTCCACCACACTACTACTTTATAATTCACAGCACCCACTTTCTCCCAACCACAGCCTTCTTCATCACCACCACTTACGACTTCTCCATGGCTATTGCTAACGAAGTTGTCGCAGAGCTCGAGACCTTAGTATGAGTCTACAAAGACAGCTCGGTGGAGAGGTGCCAAGCTCCGATTGTCCCACCGTCGCTCCAAGATCCTTAAACCCGTGTCTCATCAAAAGACATCACCATCTCTGCAAACCTTCGGCTCCCATCTCCGCCAGAATATACCTCCCCAACCTATCCGATCCTTCCCGCCAAAAGCTCACCGTCCTCGTCTACTTCCATGGAGGTGGCTTCTGCATAGAATCCGCCTTCAACTTAACCGAAACCACATTCACAAACAGTTGACTTTATTTTTACTCTCTTTCGTCTTCGAATAGTAGAGGTTTTTTTATTTTA